CATATTTGATTTTTCTCCTTTTTCTTACTGCAAATATCCAGCTTATCAGTATATTCCATCAGCCCTATCTTCAAAACATACTCTGAATCTGACCACTGCTCATGACTTTTATTGCATCATCCTTGCCCAAGCCACTGTCATCCCTTTGAACTACTTTGGCGCAGTCTCATCTGGTCTTTCAGCCTCCTCTCTTCTCTCCCTCTTACCTGATCCCCACCCCACCACAGTTAGTCTCCATATAACAACCAGAGCAATCTTTTTAAAATGTAAAACCAGATCATGTCATTTTCATGCTTAAACCCTCCAATGGGTTCTCATCCCTTTTGAAATAAACAAAATTCAAACATCTGTCTGTGGCCTATCTGGTTTTACATTTTCTGGGTCCTGCGTTTCTCTCTGACCTTATGCCCTATTACTCTCTCCCTTGTTAAGCTGGGCTCCATAGTGGCCTTCTTTCAGTTGGACAGGTTGAAGCTTGCCTTTTGTTCTATAAAGAGGGTAAGGCATTTCTTCCTACGACAAAGCACATTACTGTATTTCCGACAGGTTTATATATAAATGATGAAATGGTAAAATAAATAAAGGAATAAGGAAAGGTCTTTTTGCAGGTAACAATTTTTGCAGGTATGTTTTCAATGTTTTGTCCCTGAATTTGGCTGGAAAGGAGCCCTACATTCCTTTCTTTGACTAGTTATTTTCTTGGTTATCTCTACAAAGATTTTTGAGATGCTTAGTCAAGGAGCATGAAAAAAATCATCTTCAGGAAACATTCCTTTTTCTTTTGATCCACCCTTTGGCCATCTTTCAGCAATGAGAATGTGAGAATGTGAGTTTTAGGGCAGTATTGTTATATTTTGGGGGTTCCAGGCAGAGCACAATGAACAATGTTAAACTTCAGCTTATTTTTATATATCATTTATCATAAAAGAAAGACCCTTAGATTTTAGATTTAAAGGAAACCTTAGATTTCATCTAGTTCAGCTTTTAAAATTTACAGATGAGGAAATTAAGACATAAAGAGAAAACATTTTGTCCTATGCAGTAGTCTTTCACCCTTTGAAATGCTCACATTATATTAAATCATTAGCCAAAGAATTATTATCCCATTTTACAGACTAGAAAAGTGAAAATCAGAGAAGCTATTTGCTTGAGGTAACATAGTTTGTGAGAAATTCAGCTGGAAATGGAACACAAATTTGACATTAAATCCCATACCATTTTTTAAATGCTATGTTGCCTCTCACAGAGGAGTTGTAAGCTATTAAAAAAGCAAATTCACATCATTAGTTTCTACCGTATATAGGTTTTAAACGTTATGGTCTTTATTTTTATTGTAAAAATAAATAATTCTTAAATATATATAGGAAGTATTTCAAATTGCTTGAGTTCTTGAAATATTTTACAATGTGTTTGTGATATATTTTACAGTGTGTTATTTTACAATAAGAAAAATCAAGATAACAAAAAATAAAAGTGATGCATGTATACTAGAGATAATTTGAAGACTGGAGGGGGAAAACACTGAAAGGGCTATTGCCTCTCACAACTGTTGTTAACACTTTGGTTATTTATGGCTGGTCTATCTTTATTAGTTTTCTTTCTCTATAGTTGTACTTAAGGTACATGCACCGTAAAGCAATGTAAACAGTGATGAATATTTAAGAATCAATGAATTTTATCCTTTTTAAAATTTATTTATTTTTCTTCTGAGACAGGGTCTCACTCTGTTTCCCAGGCTGGAGTGCAGTGGCATGATCATAGCTCACTACAGCCTCAACCTTCCAGACTCAAGCGATCCTCCCACCTCAGCCTCCCGAGTAGCTGGGACTACAGGCATGCACCACCACACCCAGCTAATTTTTGTATTTTTTGTAGAGACAAGGTTTTTCCCTGTTGCCCGGGCTGGTCCCAAACTCCGGGGCTCAAGCGATCTACCTGTGTTGACCTCCCAAAGTGCTGGGATTACAGGTTTGAGCCACTGTGTTGGGCTACATTTTATACTTATACTTGCTTTCATTTTTACTTTTGAGATAGCATTGTTTACCATGTAAGGTTATTTTTTTACTCATTGATTTCTCATTGCAGGGTATGGCAAAAAACAAACAGAAATAAGAAATTCTTCTGGAAAAAATATTCTGGTATAAATGGCTTAAGAGAGTAGAATTATATTGTGGTAGTCACAGACATGTGGAGTCTTATTTAGAATAGTAAAAAGCCCCAAAATAATAAGCATGTAAGCCCAGTAGCACTGTAGGAGTAAAGTGTTACAAGTATGTGACTTATTTTTTTTTATATATATATATATATATATATTTTTT